ACAACTACTCAAGTTGGAGTAGGCAATTTATTTCACTGCTCAAAGTCTATCGGTTGTACGAGTTCTTGCTGGGAACGAGGCCATGTCCACCTGTAGATCCCACTCCAGATTCACCCTATGATGTTTGGGTGAGACAAGATCAATCCATTCAACATGCAATTTTGACTTCAATTGCTGAATCTATTCACCCATATGTGGCCAGTACTGAAATCGCCCATGAAGCATGGATTGTGCTGGAACGACTTTATGCCAATAACTCTCAAACCAGAATTGTGGCACTCAAGGAACGATTGTCGAATCTCAAGTGTGAAAGCAGAGCAATCACCGACTATTTGCGTACGATCAAGGAGCTTATTGATCGTATTAGCCGTGCTGAGAAAACACCCCTCTCCAATTCAACAATACAAGTGCATTTCTTGAATGGTCTCGGATCAGAGTACCGCGAGTTCAAAGCCTCTATACGAGCGCGAGATGGACCGCCATTGTCCTTTGAAGATTTGCAGGACAGATTGTTGGCATATGAAGAGTCTTTACAGCGAGACGACTCTCGCCAAGAATTGCAAGCCCCATTGACGGCACAGTTTGCAACCGCTACTCCTAAGGTTAATGGTGACTATCATAATGCTATGAACAATGTGCAGCTGACTTCCTTCAATTCTTATGGACCTTCATCCAATCACCCCACTAGATATGGCAGCTCAAATTGGCAATTTAATGGTCCAGTGAACCGTGGAAACAGGGGTGGTCGTGGTCGAGGTGGTCGACGAAATTCAGCCAACAGGTACAATAATCGTAATAACTTTGCCTGTCAATTGTGTAATGGTTTTGGCCATTTTGCTAGGAATTGCCCAGATCTCAGGAATCATGCACATGTGGCAAATTTTGCATCCACATCTCGCAAGGCAAGAAATGAATGGTGGATCGATTCTGGTGCATCCGATCATGTTACCCCAGACTTGTCTAACCTTGCATTACATTCGGAATATGGTGGACCAGATGAACTGCTTATTGGGGATGGATCAGGTTTGACTATCTCACATGTGGGACAATCCACAATCCCAACCAAAACAAAACCTTTACTCTTGAAAAATATACTATGTGTTCCAAGTGCTTCTAAAAATTTACTTTCCGTTTCTAAACTATGCCAAAATAACAATGCATTGGTAGAATTTCATCCTGATTTTTTTGTTGTGAAGGATCGCATCACGGGAGTGACGCTTCTTCGAGGGCACAATCATCATGGCGTGTACCGCCTACCCGCCCAAGGTCCACCTAAGACGGGTCCAATGGCAATGGTTGGAGAAAGAGCATCTATTATGGATTGGCATGCAAGATTGGGTCATCCTTCGTCTAAAACTCTCAATAAAATTTTTCACCATGTTAAATTACCTATTTTAGATCGATCTCGATTTTCTTTATGTGAGTCTTGCTTGTGTGCAAAGAGTCATAAATTACCATTTGGCGAATCATCTATTTCTAGCAATAAACCTTTAGAAATAATATATTCTGATGTGTGGGGCTCTGCCTCCTTACCTTCTATGGATGGCTTCCTTTATTACGTAATTTTTGTTGATCTATTTAGTCGTTATGTTTGGCTTTTTCCTATTAAGAGGAAATCTGATGTTGCACCAATCTTTCAAAAATTTCATGTTCTTGTCGAAAATCAACTTGGAACAAAAATTAAATCTTTTTACTCTGATGGTGGCGGTGAGTTTCTTGCATTAAAAGACTACTTTCAAACTCAAGGAATCTCTCACTTTATCACACCCCCCTACACACCAGAATTAAATGGTATAAGTGAGCGTCGAAATCGTCTTATTGTTGAAACTGGTTTAGCCCTGTTGCAAACTGCCTCTCTTCCTTTAAAATTTTGGAGTCATGCTTTTCTCACTGCTGTTTATTTACATAATAGGATTCCAAGTTCTACTAGCTTATGTTCACCTTTTGAAAAATTATTTCACATTAAACCCAATTACCTCAAACTTCGTGTTTTTGGGTGCTCATGTTATCCATGGTTGCGCCCATACAACTCTCATAAATTACAACCAAGGTCTCGTAAGTGTATCTTTTTAGGTTACTCTATTGATCATATGAGTTATAAATGCTTTGATCCCATTTCTGGAAAGGTCTTTTACTCCAGACATGTTGTCTTTGATGAGCATGATTTTTTCTACCAAAAATCCCACAACTTAGTCGCAGGTGGTGGCACTCAATCCTCTGCTAGCCCATCCGAATTAGCTACTGTTTCTCCACTGGACATTGCTAGCCCTCAAGCGTGCTCTCATGGTGTGGCCCATCCACATGACCCTCAGGTAAACTCTCCCACTCATCATCTCTCTTCCTTCTTACCTCCTATGGTCCAATGTCCCCCAAATCCTCCATCTCCATCTCATACCCGTGAGCCCTCCTACCCACCCACAGTCAAGGACCTAAGCCACATATCTTTGAATCCTTCAACCTCAGCCCATCCCACCTCCAAGGAACCACACCTAGAACATCTATCCCCCACTCATGGCTCTCCTCGGGCCCATTTGCCCTCACTTCCCTCATCCCCGATCCACCTAGTTTCCTCCAGTCCCTCTACTACCTCTTCCAGTTCCACTTCTTCACCTACAATGTCTGCTCCTCACCCCACCGGACCTACACGAACTCACAGTATGACCACCCGTTCTCAAAATAATATCTTTAAACCTCGCACTCTATTCCTTGCCACAAAGCACCCTCTCGACAGTTCGATTGAACCCACTTGTGTAAGTCAAGCTTTGAAAAATCCTCAATGGCGTCAGGCCATGTCTGATGAGTTTAATGCTTTGGTTAGACAGGGTACTTGGGAACTTGTTCCTCGCACTGATGTTCAACATGTCATTGGCTGTAAGTGGGTGTTTCGTGTCAAACGGAATAAGGAAGGTGGTATTGACCGATACAAAGCACGTCTTGTGGCTAAAGGATTTCACCAACGACCTGGGTCCGATTACTTTAATACCTTTAGCCCGGTGATCAAACCTACAACAATTCGTACAGTGCTTTCGTTGGCTGTGAATAAACACTGGCCTATTCGCCAATTGGATGTTAATAATGCTTTTTTGCATGGGAAGTTGGAAGAAGAGTTGTTTATGGAGCAACCACCAGGTTTTGTTGATAGCTCTCAGCTCCAACATGTTTGCCGCCTTCGTAAGTCCATCTATGGTCTCAAACAGGCTCCTCGTACTTGGTACCAAGAGCTCAAAACATTTCTACTTCAGCATGGGTTTGTGAACTCACGGTCTGATTCTTCCGTGTTTATTTTTCATTATCAGTCAGAATGGGTTTATTTCTTAATTTATGTTGATGATATTATTGTTACGGGCAGTACCGAGAAGCTAGTTGAATCAATTATCTCCTTAATGGGTGCCACCTTCTCTATCAAAGATTTGGGTTGCCTCAACTATTTTCTTGGTGTGAATGCTATCTTTA